GACCACTGGCACAAAAATTAAAGAAGTCAGAAAGAGAAATTACTTTAAGGAATGCAAATTAGGCAATAGGCCTTTACTTTTATAAAAGCAAGGTGTGATGGACCATTCCAGTGGAAATATCAACAGGGAGGTTTGAGGATGCGTACATGTATCTTTGAGAGGGAAATTGATCCTGGACGTGCAGCTTATTCAGAGTTCCAACTTTTTTTTCTATTCATTAATTGTATTGGTAAATTTTAGGTGTACAATACCATGACATTCATCATTGGGAATTTGTACCTTTGCATAAGATATCTTGGTTCTTAATTTTTCCCCATTCCCCTGCCCTCCCTTCTACCCCTCCCTATTTACAAAGACTTTGTTTTCATTTTTTCCTTTTCTCATATTTATTCCTTTCCCTTCTTTCTTTGCCCCACCTCTACCTTTTCCACTTCCCCTTTCCCTTTGGACCTTTTCTTCCTATTTCACATTATTATCTAGTATACATTTTTATCCTTATTTACACTTTCAGCTTCTCACACCAGAGAAAATATTTGGTATTTACACGTGTGTCCTATTTATTTTACTAAAGAGTATAGTCTCAATGTGCATCCATTTAGCTATAAATGTCTCTAATTTTTCATTCTTTATGGCTGAGGAGTACTCAGTTTTATTTTTTAAAAAAATCTTCTTTATCCAGTCTCCAGTTGATGGGCATTTGGGCTGTTTCCAAGTTTTAGCTATTACAAACTGTGCCACTATAAACATTGGTGCACATATATCTCTGTGGTATGATTCTTTTAATTCTTTCGGGAATTCCCCCAGCAGGGGAATAGCTGGGTCAAATAGGACCTCTAAGCATAGTTTACTGAGATAGCTCCATATTGATTTCCACAGTGGTTGCACCAGTCTACACTCCCACCAACAATGGAGAAGGGTTCCTTTCTCCCCACAACCCTGTCAACATTTGTTATTGGGTGATTTCTTAATAAATCAGCCATTCTTTCTGGGGTGAGGTGGAATTTCAGCATTGTTTTCATTCCAACTTTCTTACTGTATTATATCAAGGTAGGTAGCTAGTAACTAACCATGATTTCCTTGAGTTTTTCTTGAAAGTGTTTTGAAATTTAGGGAAAATAAATTATTTCAAAGGTATATATATATA